TTTTGTCATCTATAAAACTGTAACAAAAAAAAAGCAGTTTGGGCTGAGTAATCTCTAACACTTCTACTAGGCTGGAAAACCTGTGTTTTTATTAATGGGCTTTGTTTAGCTTCTTGCAGATATTTCTCATGATTTTCTATGCAGCAAGGTATTAGAAGACATACTTCAAAGAGTGAAGGAGACAAATGAGGAGAGGAAAGAAAAGAAAAACAGTAGAAAAAGGAAATCTTTAATGGAAGGAGTAAGAGGGAAGAGAGGACAGCTGAGATTTTAGGAGCTTTTTAACATCAGCCTTAACGTATGGCTTCCCAAGAAGAGCTATGCTTTTGATCTACTTCCATTTACAAGATTAAGCTTCTATAGTTTCTGAGATTATCCTTGCTCTGTACCATTTTGTACATTTTGCACATAACGGAATTAATCAATGTTTGTTAAATGTATGTATTAATGAAAGGAGACATGCTTTCTAGATCCCTTGCCAGCCTGGTTTCCTTCCTTTGGACACAATCCCTTTAAAAATGTGCCATCCATCAGCAATTAGGATACAGCTGAACAAATAATGGCACATGAATGTAATGGAATATTACTGTGCCATAGGGAATTATTAATATGAAGAAGTCAAAGAAACAGGGATGACCTTGTATGAGAAAATACTGACTACAGAAGACAAGTCAAAAGAATACTGTGTAGTGACTAAAACAATGTAAATAAAGTCAATGTGGACAGGCAACAACACTGGTCAAATGTAACAATGTTAGTACCATATTGTCAAAGTTAAAGGACGCACCCCTTCTTTTTGTTCATTGAAGCCATGTGGATAAAGTGCTAGACTTGGAATCAGAAAAACTTGGATTCATATCCCACTTCTGACACTAGTTGTATGACCACAGGCAAGTCATTTAATCTCTGAGTCTCAGTTTCCTCATCTGTAAAATAAAAATAACATCATATATACTTCTCATTTCACAGTATAACTGAATGAGTACAAAATACTTCCGCAAACTTTAAAGTGCTTGATAAATGTCAGTTACTAATAAGTGATAAACTTTTCTCAAATTTTTTTTCAAAACGGTTTCTGTGTTAATAAGTATTTGTTTTGTAAAAACAAAATTCATCAATGCACTTTTTAAAAAGTTAAAGTTCGGGCATCTGGAGCACAGAGGAACTCCCAATTATCATTAATCAAATCAGGCCTTTTTCTGATTGCCTAAACACCCACGACTCATACTGACCTGGCAGTCGACTAAGTCCTTCATTCTTTTTCACTTGAACTGTATCTCTTTATTACACATCAGTAAAAACCGATTTTTAAAAAAAATCCTAAAGACAAAGTTTAGCTCAAGCTAACTTCACATTGTTAAACTTCTACCAATCTAGCTTTGTTGGATTCCAATTCCTGTCATCCAGTCAACTGACTAATCCCAACTTTGTGTCATCTCTAAATTTGATAAGCATGCCATTTGTCCCTTAAACGGAGCCATCAATAAAAGTACTGAAGGAAGGAGTGAGTCTTGTGGCCCACAACGAACACCTCCCTCCAGTTTAAAACAGATGCTTTAAGTCTCCAGCACCCTTCCTTCAACTTGGAGGATGGGGGTTGGGGGAGTGGGAAACATTGCAGCTGACAGCCTCGGAGTGGCTGTGGAGGCACTGTTGGAAACTCTGTCTGGCTAACAGAGACATTGCCCAATCGTGGCCTTGAGGATGGGGAGGAGGCATTCGGGTCACAACCTTGGTTGTGGGGAAGAAGACTATCTTAGGTAGGGGTGTTGACAATGAACTTGGCAAAAAGCGCCTACTAGGTACTAGGTACTGTTTTAAATGCTGGCACTGTGAGGTAGGAGGTAGAACTACAGATCACAGCTTTAGATCGTGGGAAGACAGGTGTGCGCGCTGGGTGGGGGTCAAGGCTGGGGGTGCGGGAGGAGACACCACAGGTCACAGACTCGGGGTGGGGATGGGCAGAGGGGCAGACACACCGCAGGCAGCGGGAGAAGGGGAGGGGGGACACGCGAAGCGGGCCATGGCCAAGGGCGGGGTAAAGAGGAGACACCGCGAGTCCCGGCATCCGCTGGGAGTGGAGGGTGAACTCTCTGCAGGTCACGGTCACAGGGAGGGGTCATGGCCGCCGATAGGAGGGGGTCAAGGGGACACAGCAGGTCACTCCCTCGGCAGGATAGGGGAGGAAAGCCATTTCTCGTCCTTCGCCACGCCGAGAGAGGAAGACTGCTCAGCAAGGGCGGCTCCAGACTCGGACACCGCCCCGACCCGACCCGGAGTCGGGAGTCAGGAGGCCTCGGCCCCGCCCGGCTCCGGTTCCGGTCAGCCACCGCCCCAACCCGGCTCGCCTCTTGTCAGACACCGCCCCCGGCTCCGGTCAAGCCTGGTCCCCGGTTCCGGTGAGCCACCGCCCCGGCTCTGGTCAGGCCTGGCCTCCGCTCCTGTCAGACACCGCCCGGCTCCTGTCAGGCCTCGCCCAGGGCCCCGTTGGGCACTGCCGCAGAGAAGCAGCGGCTCCCGCCCCCCCCCTCCCCCGACAGCTGAGCTTGAGGACCCCGGCCCTACCTGGTCCCGCGGGCCGGGCCGGGACGAGCCGTACCGCCCAGGGCTCCACTCAGCGCGGCGGCGGCGGCCCCGGCCCGTCCCGTCAGCTCCAGTCTGGCCGCGGCTCCGTGGCCAGCCCGGGAGCCCTCTATCCTGCGTCCAGGCCCTGGTCTTCCCTCCGCCCCCACTGACAGCTGCCGCGGCCAATGGAGACAGTCACTCGCAAGGCGCGGACCAATAGGTTCCCAGAAAAGCGGCACAGGAGGCGGGGCATGGAAAGCGTCACGGATGGTTGCTCGCTCCCGGTCGCCCGCTGGCTCCTCCCCGCGCACGAGACTCCACCCCCAGGTCCGGGAAATGTTGGAGCAACTGCGGCTAGGACGGGACTGCACGCGCCTGCCCAGAAGGGCCGGGAGGAGTAGGGCATGGAGCAGTCCAAGAAGCCTGTCTGGAAGAGATCTGTCCACTAGACTACGGTTCAAGACATGTCCGTTACTTGGTGTGCGTGACCTCGGGGCAAATTACTTTCTCTGGGGCCTCCGATGCCTGTCTACTGACTTTTTCTCCCGGCTGTGTCATAAACATCGTGATGATATCTGCAGCTAGCTTTTCCGTAGCGCTTTAAAAGGTTTACAGAACGCTTCCCATTTCATCTTAAGAATGATCTCCCTGGAAGGGCTTTATGTGTTGGTTCAGAACCAGTGGTTTTAGATTCTGGGCTAAAAGGAATGTTCAAACACCTTTTTACTTCCATAGCATTATAGTCCTCCCTCAACACCTTCAACTCCTGTGGCTTCCTCTCCTATCTGAATAAATCCCAGGCCCGATAACATATAGCAGGCAGATATTATGACAAGGGCCCTTTTTGAAGCTTCATTCTACCAAGAAGCAGCTGGATGCAGTGGACCAAGGTCCAAATTCTCACCCTGCTACTCCTCTTTATTACTCCTGTAACCCCGGACAGTTCACAATCTCTCCACGACTCCTTCCTCATCTCTAAAACCAGTGTTCTTTGGTAGCAGATAAATTCCTAGATTAAGTCAGGAAGACCCAAGCTCAAATGCCACCTCAAATTCTTATAAATGATTCCAGCAGAGTCACAAGCTCGAGCCTGTTTCATCTGTAAAATGGGGATAATTGTTTCCAATTCCATATTGTCAGGATCGAGTAATACATGTACCAAATGCTTTGCAAACCTCACAGCACTATTCTGAAACCCTAAACTCTAAAGCAGGGGTTCTTAACCTTTTTCCGTGTCACTGTGGACCACTTGGCAGTCTGGTGAAATTTATGAATCCTTTTTCAGAATAAAGTTTTTAATTGCATAAAATGTAGTTTTACAAAAGAAACCAATTAGATTGATGATTACTATTTTAAGTTCACAGATTCCAGAAGGTTAAGAACTCTCTTGCTCTAAATCCTTAAAACATCTCATTAGTTGCTTATGCTCTGGTAAAAGTACTATGGAAATAAGATACCTTTTTATTACAGTGATAACACTCCCAGTCCCACCCTTAGAAGGAAAGTCTTCTACTCAGAAGTGTTCTCAGGACAAGTAATGGAACAACACTCCTGCTCCGGCACTCGATCTCCATGACACCCATTTGAGAGATGACTGGCTAGTGAAGGTAAGGGGGAAGCATCAGATGACAGGAAACTGGAAATCAATTTAACTGGTCTACAAAGCCACATTGGCAATTCTGGCCTTGATGAAAAATTATTCTAGATTGCTGGATGAAACCCCAGTCTTACCTGTATGTCCCAGCTTTGCAGGGGGTGAGGAGATGCTCTTGGTGGCTGTCAGCCTCTAACTCCAGACAACTTGGTTTCTTCAAGGTATTACAGCAAATCATGGACAATCTCAAGGGTAAAGGCAGTGGCATGTTTTCTTGGGGAAGTAAGGGCTCTGCTGAGGATGGCAGTTCCAAATTTTTGTGACCTGACAACTCAGTGTCCCAAACCATCACCCTTCATGACCTGACAGAGACCTCCTTTCTTCATGTGGGGCTAGAAGCAGTCTAAGTTTGTTCCCAGGCTGGCCAGCTATTGAACATACAATTAAGTCAGGCAGGAGATTTCAAATGGCATTTTCTGCAGCGGGTACAATTCCAATAAGAGCAAAGCCATCCTGAAGGACTCAGGAAGAGTCTCCTACCACTGCTAGCTTTCAAGTCTAGAGGGAAAACAAGGACCCCTAGGAGGAGTGTTAGGTGCATTCTGGCCAATCCAGAAAGTCTTCCTGAGAGTGGACTGGCCAGATTTACACATTATCAGGCCTGGGTACAGCTGTACACCTTAAGGAGTGAGCAACTCAACCAACTCCTGTTTCTAACTATCTGGAGCAGCTTAACCATCCTTTCCATCTAATCCCCTTCTCTCATCACCATCACCTTCCCTTCCCCACCCCCCTCCAACCCCCTCTCTATGGGAGAGAAGGACTGGGCGGAGACAGACACTTTGGTATGGCAATCTTTATATCCACAACACAGAATAACCATGCACAAATCCAGGGATGCAGGGCTCTATTTACAAAGAAGGTTGCACTCAACTAAATACAAGTGCTGTGGAATAGAAGAAACAGATATATGAATGAGCAGAGGTCTGCACCAGCCCTGGCTTTCCCATGCAGACTAAGCCCGCTTGTGGCGTAGCAATTACTCAGCAATGTCCACTATTGACCAACCTGACCACACCCAGAAATTTGGCCTGTGTCAGGAAGACTCCTTACAGCTAGCTTAGTCACCCTACCCGTAATCCCAGTAGGTGGGTGTTGGAGGAGTGGGGGGGGGAGTAGGGGATTCTGGTCAGTTTCCCCAACCCAAGCATACTTCCTCTTAGTTGCTGTTCACTGGCTCAGGGCCCTTGGTGGCTTGCCAGCCTGTCATTCCAAAGAAAAGCATCTTCCAGAACTGCCCATGAGCTAGAATACTGAATCCCTCAGAACTTGAGGGCGTGTCTCAAGCCACATGACTCACATTTTCTGCCCTATGCCACTTAGGTCAGAAGTCTCTTCTCCTAGGCAATAACTTTTTCATAAACACCTAGATGCAAGTTAGCTGCCAAAGAAAGTCAGCAGGTAGCAGACTTAGTATGCTACCAAAGTGGAAGTGAGGACCAATAATGCCAAGGAAGAGGTGGGAAAAGGCCAACCCCAACTCTTAAGCAGAAGGCACCAGGTGGACCCAGGCCTGCTTGTCTCATGGCCAAGGCTAGCTGGGACCCTATACTCCTAACTTGGATTATCCACAGGGATAATGAAAGAAGAGGCCAAGAAAAAATAAAAGGCCTTAATCTTCACCCCCAGGCAAGAAACCAGATAGCAGCAGCAGGGTCCTGGAAGACAGCTGTCCAGGACAGGATAGCTAAGAGTCATTTCACACTGCCCTGGAGAGTGGCTGTAGTATGAAGGCCTCTAAGCTGGTGAAACTTGAATAATTTAGTCAAAGGAAGTCATAACCTAGAAGGGTTATCCAGAGTCCATCTTCCCTTTCTGTGATATTGGCCCTGGTCTGAAAGAGAAGGGGTGGTCATTAGGCTGTTAGATAAGCTGTCAGGAACTTGGTGGTGTCTTGGGAGGCTTGAATCCTGAATAATTAATGTTCCTGTACATGTCCCAGAGCTCTACCCCTGCCACAACCACAAAACCATTTCTACATCTTCCTAGAAATCTCAGAAAGGCAGGCTGAAGGACTGAGTCAAATGGTTCCAGTTTCAACAGTCCTTCCTACCCACGGCCAGCAGCAGCCATTGGCTCCTGGAGTCTTGGGGGCCCCGGAATGTCACCAAGTTAAAATTTCCACCAACCCATCCCAACAAGCTCCAGTCTCAGCTCAAGCTTTGGGGCAGAAGGGAAAGACCCAATTAAATTGTTGAGGGCTGGAACAATTTCCTACCGTAGAGCTGAGAAGCAAGTCAAGGGACTTTGAATAAGGCCCGGGAGTACTAAATATACTACCCTGGCCTGAACTTTCATGGAGGCATGGAACAGGGCACTTCAAAGGGAAAGAAGCTGCATTTCCTAGCCTGACTCCTCCTCAAAGGAGCGGCAGTTTGTGAGGCCAACAAGAAGACAAATGACTCCTGAGTGGCTCCTCCCTTACCTCCCCTGCCCAGAAATCACTGGCCTTCCTCAATAAAGAGCAAACTCCCTGTAAATTTAAAAGACCAGTACATTAAAAGCAGCCCAGGGATGACAAGGAAGAGAAACTACACCAAAGGGCCAACAGAGCAGAGATTAAGGCCCTGCCTCGCCTTTAAGGCCAGTGAAAGTACAGATTCACTGACTCCAACACACAGACAGACCCTCATCCATTCTACTCCAGCCACTTCCAAAATGCTGCTGCCAATGTTGGGACCTCTGATGTAAGGAAGAGACTTCACGCAACAACCTGTGCTCTGAAGCTGGCAGCTGGCTGAAACCCAAGCCTCACATCAGCCTAGGAGACCCATCAACGAAACCCTTCCATGTAGGAGAGCAACAAGGCCAGGGCCCTGGACACCTTCCTGAATCCATAGCACACACACCTTGAAGGCTAAATGCTCCAGAACAGCTAGTTCTCACTTGGCAAAGATTCCAGAGTAACTCCAACAGGTTATCAACTAACCTTGGGAAGACGTCTTTGTCTTTTACACGCACAACTGGAAAAACCCCTCCGTCTTATTCCAAAAGCTAGCTTTCAAACAATGCCTGGAATGTTAGCTCCACTTTTCCCCTGTCACCCATTCACAAGATGCAGGTTGTACCACTAGGACAAGGTCCTGACATGCAAAGGGGGTGGAGTAGGGCATCCCACCCCAGCGAGAGCATGTGACACTAGTCTGCCTGCAGCCAACATGCTCAGAGGCACAGCTAAGCAGTCCTCCCTCTTCCTTCGGCTAATCTCAGTGTACTATGCAAACAAGCACACATGGCTGGGGAAAGCTCACTGCCTGACTGGACCATTACCAACTTTAGCCTGACCCTCTAGAAAATGGGAGTGTGATCAGGTTTCTCTTGTTGTACCAGACAAAGATGTGCAGTGGTCAAGATTGCTGCTGAGGCTAGTGGGCATCAGGAAAAGTATAACTGTTGCAAATAGCATCCTGGCACTGAGGAAATGAGGAAAGGGCGAAGGAACACAGTTGCATACAGGAAATAGAATCATACATTTTAGTAAAGGTCAAGAAAAATTATAGCCCATGAGAGTCAACTGTTAAAGAATAAAAAGGTGAGGGAAAGGGTTGAGATGCTATGATTTGGCATAAATCTTACAAAATGTATAAAGAATCTATGTTTTTCTACAATAACAAAACCCAAAAACTCTAAGTGCAGTTATATACAAAACATGAGAATATTGCTTCCCTTGCAAATGGGTCTCAGGCAAGATGGTGGATTGGAGAGGGGGCTGTGGGCAGAAAGGAGATTACCAAGGGCCTGCACAGGCTGAAGCTGGTCAGGGTTCTGGGAGCGGAGGGAGAAGCCGCAAAGGAAGGGCCGGCACTTGCTGGATGCTCTGATTGAGGAAGAGGATTCTCTCTGGTGGCTGACAAATCATTCCATCATCTCAGCCTGCCCCTGGACTCCTGAGTCTCCTCCCTGGGGCAAGAGGTACCCAGTAATGACTCTCCCTAGGACCAGGCCCAGAGGCTAGCCACAAGGAAGGGAGGAAAATCTGGGGACTGTGTCACCAGCAGCCTCACCATGGGTCTTCCACCACCAAATGAGAACCCCCAGTGCTCATCGAAGGATCCCAATTGGACACAACAGGACATCTGAGGAAAAGATTTTTTCCCTCTTTAATTTCAGCACACCTCCTCCCTTCCCTGCTCCCCATGTTCCCCAGAGATCTAAGAGTTTAAGAAAAAGTTGGGCTAAATGCAAAAGCAAATCAGTGTAGGTATGTCTTTCTTCAGCCGTGATAAATGAAGTCTTGGTTCCTCCTCCTCCTCCCACCAATCACTAGACAACCAGGCCCAAGGTCAGCCCACTCCCCTGGGAGCCTGAGAGGAAAGGGGGGTTTGGCCTACAGTTAATGCTCGAAGATGGACGTTGGGGATGGGGGAAGAAACGAGGATGACAAAGAGTCACTGAATCACAGGAGACAACTGCAAAGACGTGCACACACGTTTCTAACTGAAGCACAGCGAGGTAAGGGCGGGCAGGGAAGGCGCCTCTGGGCGCGGGTGGTCACAGGCTCTGGCAGCACTGGAGCTTGTTGGATTTCTGTCCATCGGTGGTAGGGGGGACACTGATGTCTACCACATTGTTGCCGGGAGATTCATCATGTGCAGAGCGGTCAGCAATCTGCTTCTGGGATACGATGCGGTAAATCTCTGTGGGCATACAGACTCTGGGTTAGCAAAGCAGGAGAGGGCCCTGCCAAGGTCAGCAGAAAAACACACAGCTCAAAGCTGTGCCCCACAGAGCTAAACATTTTGTCCCTGGTTCAAGACAAGAAGCAGAAACAGACATAAGCAAAGAGGGAGCCCAGGAACACAGAGAGATGCAGTCCTGGCAACCCCCTCTTTCCCTTTACATAGAATCAAGCAGGCCCTGGAACAAAGGTGTTAGGGGCCATCACTCCCAACCTTAACACCAACTTTCAGTGAAGATGGGATTCACTCTCAACTCCAACACACAAAACTTCCATTCTTCCTTCAGCTATGCCTCAACTTTCCAACAGTAAGATGAGCTTCTTGTTTTTGTCTCCCTCTAGTCACCAGGGAGCTTGAGGAATGCATGCATTAACAGGTCAGGTGCTTCTCATACATATTTCAGGTATGTCATGCTAAGGTAGCCTTGGGGGAAACAAAAGGACATATGTGGAAGGGATCCTGAGCCAGTTACTTGACCTCTGTTTGCCTCAATTTCCTCAACTGTAAAATGGGGATAATAACACCACCTACCTGGAAGGGCTTCTGTTTGTTTGTTTGTTTCTTTGTTTTTGAGATGGCTGAACCACAAAGCAGTTAGCTGTTTAGTAAAAACAGCAACGGGGTCCTGGGAGAGGGAATTAATGTACCCTCCTGGGTTACTGCAATGGCTTCACCTAGACTTCTCTGCCACCCCACTGAACATATATGTGGTCAGGTCTGGGGCAGGGTGGCACAACTCCCTCCTCCATGATTCCTGTGCCAGGGGCTTCCTGGAGGGAGGCTGAGGATGGGGATGCGTCCAGCCTCAGGACCCAAAGGCAGTTCTGGATCACTCTCACTCTCTTCTCCCAGGGGCCAACGCTGTCTAATCTGGTCAGCTCCTGTCCTTCCTATACCCCAGGAGGTAGGCAGCATAACCCTAATGGTAACACAGGCATTGGTAACAGAATCCTACAGATATGACCTCCCACCACAAGATGACCTTCCCTGGCAATAAAAGATGCTGGGCTACATAACTAATTCTGGCACCCCAGAAGAGCGGTGAGTTTCTGGCAGTAACAGTATAGCTGAAGTGATTTTTGCTGCATGTGGGACAAGGTACAAGGGGCTGGGAATGCCACAGCCTCCACATCCCATTCACTGACTCCCCAGCAACTCCAACTTCTGGCTGTTCCCAGGCTTCCCCAAACCCTTAGCTTTCATTTCCCTCTGAGTTTTGCTTTAGGTAATTACTTGCCAAGTTATCTAAATGTATTAGAAAACTGACAGAGAGCTGTCCTACTTAGGCATACCTCTGCAATAGGTCACACCCTACTTCCGCCCTTGCCACCCTTCCAGTGACAGTACATTCGATCATCTGGAGCCACTTAGGCTCTGATTGTCAAATACAGACAGAAGAATCACCTGGATCTCTCAGGCAGTGATATAGTCTATTGCTTTTGCTGAACAGCATGTTTACCATCATCACCTCCTATCTCTACTTCCTGGACCTAAATGTATTCACGGCATCTACACCAGGGACAAACAATGGGCTGCATACTATACTACATATTATACCACACTACACTATACTTACATCTGTATGTTAGCTTAATTTCATCAAAAACCTATGAGAAAATACTATTCTGACTATATCCTACAGCCTTATAGTAACTCCACACCTAGAGAGTTACTATGACTGTCCCGTTCAGAGAAGAATTTCTAGGGATCTGATTTAAGCAGCTGTGGAGCTGTGAACAAGTACCGGAAAGCCTCTAGAGGGGGCTTTCTGCCAACAGCTGGGACCAATCAACCCCAGAAGGAGGAGGGGAGGGGAAGAGGGAAGAGGGGGGGAAATTCCAAACAACTAAACAAGTGCTATTTCTAAGTATAACCTTCAGTCATTTTTTTTTTAGCGAGGCAATTGGGGTTAAGTGACTTGCCCAAGGTCACACAGCTAGTATGTGTTAACTGCTTGGTCTGAGGCCGCATTTGAACTCAAGTCCTCCTGACTTCAGGGCTGGTGCTCTATCCACTGCGCCACCTAGCTGCCCCTACCTTCAGTCATTTTAAAAAAAGCAGTATTAACCTCTGGATGATCCACCAATCTGAATTTTTTTTTTTAAAGGCAATTGGGGTTAAGTGACTTGCCCAGGGTCACACAGTTAGTAAGTGTCAAGTGGTTGGTCTGAGGCCAAATTTGAACTCAGGTCCTCCTGACTTCAGGGCCGGTGCTCTATCCACTGCACCACCTGGCTGCCACCAATCTGAACTCTTTTGAATGTCAAAGGGACTTTTATAGCTTAAAATTCCTAAAAACCTAAGTCACATAAAATTTTTAAAAGCTTTTTGTGAAATATAAACATTGAAGCTTTACTTTTGAAATAAACTTTTAAGCCCGGAAACAAGAGTAGACTAGCTATTTCCCCATGTTGTTGTTGTCCAGATGTGTCTGACTCTTTGTGATCCCATTTGGGGTTTTCTTGGCAAAGATACTGGAGCAGTTGGACATTTTCTTCTCCGGCTCATTTGACAGAATAAGGAAACTGAGGCAAACAGCCCAGGGTCACAGAGCTAGTGCCTGAGGCCACATCAGATTTTCCTGACTCCAGGTCTAGCACTCTATCCACTGCTTAGATTTCCCCAGGAAGATGTTTTTCTAAACTACCATGTTCCCCCTGCACTTTTTCTCCCTTCTCCCTTTTTACCTTCCCTACAGTTTTTTCTCTCTTCCTTCAGTTCCCTCTCTCCATACTGACCATAATGTAGCAATATGGTGTATTTCTTATTACAGAATCTCCAAGAATGTTACGCTGGAAGGGATCCTCAAAAACCACCTAGTTCAAACCCTTATTTTATAAAGAAAGAAAGAGATTTACCTCAGGTCATATGTAGACCTGAGGGCATCCCTAGCACTAGAACCCATGTCTCCTGATTCTCCAGGCCACAGCTCTTTTGACTTTGCAAAGCTATTTTTAGTGACTAAAAGTTTGTGTTCTTAATTCTTAAGAGTACATCAGTGAATAAATGAGTTACTGGATAAAAAACACTTTGTAAGCAAGGGGCTATAGATGATGTATGAGCTATTCATAATTTCTGCCACTAAAACCACCGAATTGCTTCCTGGATTCCTGCTTCAGGCCAAGGTTTAACCAGCCCTGCCACGCCCACCCCAGGCCAAGGCACTGCTCACCTGTGAGAATGTTCTTAAAGGCTTCTTCCACGTTGGTTGAATCCAATGCAGATGTCTCAATAAAAGACAAATTGTTTTTCTCTGAAACAAAGAGCAGGTAATTCTAGTTAGTGCCTGGGAACATCCTGACACCCCCTCTTCCTTACTATGACCTCTTAGTGAATTAGTTCAGTTTTACACAATCCCCTGCTAGCAATCCTGCCCTCTAACCCCAACCTTGGCTTGCTCACAGCATGACAGCTTTGCTGTGCATGGCACTGGAAGAAATCACAAACTGGGTCCACTACAAATTTATGTTACATAATCTCACCTGGGTCCTCACTGTTGGAAGGCAGTGCTTTTCTATCCTACCAACCCATTTGTTATCCCACTCATGACTGTGGCTATTCCAGACTCTCTCCTTCTGGAGTACCATTTTCTCCCCACCTTCTTATCTGGGGACCTTGACTCATACTTCCCTGAAAAAATTGAGGCCACTTGTTAAGAGATCCCTCTTTCCCCCCCCCCTTATTCAGATATCTCCTGTGTCTTCCTTCACCCCTCTCTCACACCAAGAAGCGGACTTTCTCCTTGCCAGGCACACCCCTTTTCCATGCACCCTTGACTGCATCATCTCCTGTTTTCTCTAACAGGTTGCTCACTCTTATCATCTCCATTTTCTGTATAATACTCAATCTCCATCTACTGGCTCCTGCTCCGCTGCCTACAAACATGCCTATGTCTTCCCCATCTTTAAAAACCCCTCACTGACCCCACCGTGCCAGCTACTGCCCTGTAATTCTCTTCATCTTTTCCACTAAACTCCTTGAGAAAGCTGTCTACACTAGTGCTTCTACTCTCATTTACTTCTAACTCTTCTGCGATCTTGCTTCGGACCTCATCAGTCAGTTGAAATTGCTCTCTGCAAAGTTATCAATGACCGTTTACTTGGTCACAATTCGAATACCTTCTTCCTTAGCCCCAGCACTTGATGCTGTTGATTACCTGCTCTTTCCTGGTTCTCCCATCTGACAGCTCCTTTTCATTCTCCTTTGCTGGATCTTCCTCTAGGATATTCCCACTAACCACAGGTGTCCTCTCAAAGGGTCTGTCCTGAACCCTCTTCTCTTCTCCCTCTTCATTATCTTGCTTGGTGATCTTATCAGCTCCCACAGGTTCAAATAGCACCTTTACACAGATAATTCCCAGGTATATTTGCCCAGCCCTTACCTCTTTCCTAACCCTAGTCCTCCATTATCAACTGCCTTTTGGACATCTCAGAGGCATCTCAAACTCAACATCCTGAAAAACACAACTCATTATCCTTCCCCAAAATCTTCCTCCCTTCTTCCAGCTTTCCTATTACTTTCTAAGGAACCACTATTCATGACCCAGGCTCCCAACCTCTATGTCATCCTCAGTACAGCTTTACAAGTTGACAAAGCATCTTCTATTCGTTATCTGATTTGAGCCTCATAAGATCCCTGTGAGGTGGATACTAGATATTATCCCCATTTTACAGTTGAAGAAATATGCTTAAATGACTTTGTCTGGGGTATCCCAGCTGTTAAGTATCCGAGGTGGGACTCAACTCCAAGTGTGACTGACTACTAAGTCCACCATGCCAGGAAAAATGTCCTGATCAAGATTTATCAAATCTCAGAGGCGGAGCCAAGATGGTGGAGTAAAGGCAGGGGCTTGCCTGAGCTCTCCCCCAAACCCTTGCAAATATCTTTTTAAAATAACTCTAAACAAATTCTAGAGCAGCAGAACCCACAAAAAGATGGAGTGAAACAAATTTCCAGCCCAAGACAACTTGGAAGGGCAGCAGGAAAGGTTATGTTACGCCAAGGTGAGAGAGGAGTGCAATCTAGTGCAGCCCATGCCAGCACAGCCCTGGCCCCAGCCCCAGCAAACACAGATCAGGCCTTGGGAGTGATTGAATCAGCAGCAGTGGCAGCGGCTGCTTCCAGAGCTCTCAGCCCACAGATGGTCAAGGGGTTGAAAAACTGGTCAGAAGATTACAGGGGTCTTTTTGCTAGCACTGAGGCAGGACTCTATTGCTTTTGCCCATACGTGGATCGGGGTCCTCAGCGGCAGTTCCAGGGCGAGGAGGAACACTAGCATAGCAGAGCTTTGGGCTTCAGTGAAAGAGGGGACCCTCCTCCCAGTTCCAGGGCAGAAAAGAGTGCTTGTGGTCGCTCACAGATCAGAGCAATAAACACCTCTCCTTAGATCATACCTCCTTGGAAGAACTGAAAACTCACAGGTCCCTACAAGTATCTCTGAAAACAGCTGCACAAAACCCCTGAAGCTTGGGACAGTGTGCCTTCCACCCTGGGTGCACCTTAACAAAGAGTTAAAAATCAACTAACAGGCTGGGAAAATGAGCAAACGATGGGAAAAAAAATTTATCAAATCTGTACAAGTTGGATTTTTTTCCCCTAAAATAAACTGCATTACTTTCAAGTATGAAGCTTACAAATGCATGTCAATGCTGAACACAAGGGTACAAATCCTTCCCTACTGGCATGTTTCAGTGATTGCAATTTAACTGAAGGCCCCACTTTACTACCATGCTCCCTCAAGTATTTCCTGAAGGACTTTGGACAGCTGTTCCTCTCCCTATTTCTGTTTAGCTTCATCTGCACACGTTCCATAAAATCTCTAACGTCGTCACTACCAGTCACTGTCATAAGCACTCACTCCTCCAGCTAGGTTTCTCTGGATCTGTATCCTCAGAACTCACTCCCAGGAGCTTTACTCTTTTGAAGTCTTGCCCTTTTACAATGCATCCCCTTTTCCTTTCTTCAGCTTGCAGATCCAATTCCTAAAGAACCTTCGTAGACTCCCAGGGCACAGGCAGTTGCTGACCTCTCTTCTCTTCCTCCCTAGTCTTCTGATGACTTATCTTTGGAGCTTCCTTCCTTTTATTAGATCAGTCTCCCCTCTGCTTCTGGGCAGCCAGACTGTTCCTCCTTCTTGTACTGCAGTCTCTCCTCATGGGCTTTGTACTGTACTGCAGATCTCTCTCCTCCTTTACTTGCTTCTGGCCACATTATAAATGTTTGTTGACTGACTTACTAATTAACTCTGGAGTCCTTAAATACCGTGTTTACCTTTAGGACCCAAGAAACCTACAAAGCTGTCTCTTACTCTCACAGTGAACACAGGAGCTTCCAATGTATGTGAATTTATATGGGTCAATACATATACATGAATTTCTAGGAACACATACATTTGTCCATGTGTGTGTGTGTATGTGTGTGCGCGCATATATATGTGTGTGTGCATGCATACATACACACACACACAGACACACACACATCTTTGGAAGAGCAGTTTGGCACAGGGGACAGGCTCAGAGTTAGGAAAACCTGAATTCGAGTCCTGCCACTCACATGTACTAGATGTGTCACCGGATCAAGGCCCTTACCTTCAGTGCCCCAGACAAATCTCTAATAAAACAAGTTGCAGAGTATGGCTGATCTGCATTGGTGGAAGGAATTTTTTACCCGAAGTTCCATATATCATTGAAATCTCAGGCCTAGTTAGTTTTTGGTTTTTTTTTTTTACACATGTCTGCGCATATGTTGTGATTTATGGGGAGTAACCACCCTTTCTAAAAGTCTTCCTACAATGACTCACTGCTTACGGAATAGAAGCAACCCTGGCATCCCAAAGGTTCTGTCAAGTGGGTGAGGTCTGGCAGCTCCCAACCAAACTGAAGAAGCTCCCAAGACAGGCCCCAGGGGCTGTATAGGGCTGTGGGTTGAGGACCAAAACCAGTTAAGTAAGCTCAATACCAGCTCACCCTCAGAGTGATGAATTTTTCATCGTAGAAACTTTTGAAGACTAAGTCCTAAAGGGGTTTTGACCTGCATCAATAGGGATTGTCCACCTGCGCTAATGTAATTACACAACACTGAAGTAAGCATGTGTAAATACGTATGTCTGTATATTGTAAAGTGAGGCTCATTAATATACAACCTATAAATATTATGCAGAAAGCCCTACTATATAATAACAATATGTGGGAAATGGGAATCTATGAAATGGATACATAAGCAAAGTAGTTCTCAGTATGGAAATCTTTGCTTGATAAAGAAACTTATTACTGTCCCTTTAATTGGGAGTCAACCCTTTAAATATCTCAACTGTGATTCAATCTTCTTCTCTCTCCTTTTTCTTCCCTACTGACAGGGTATATAACTCCACATGGAAAAGCTCTGACCTACAACCATCACCCAATGCAAACTTAACAACCTCTTAGCAGGCAAGATGGGAGGTTTTGCCAAGTCCACACATATGAGGAAAACTGCATGTGGGACAAACAGTGTAAGGTAGGTACAAACTCAGAACTTAGGGTAAGTGAGTTAGAGGGTATTGATGGCCCTGCTCTACAGGCTAAAAGCACTTTCAGCAAAGCCAGTATTAAAAAATTACCAGCCATTCAAGAGAAGACAAAGTCAATGGGAAACCAGGATTTAGTCTATAAAGAATTATTTAGAACTGTGTCAAGAAAGGCACACATTTACATGGCTCTGAGGAAAAAAGAAAGCCTGACCTTCAACACATAGAGGCTGATACCTTTACATTAAAATTTAACCCAGAGCTCATATGACTCACATATACTTAGCTGAGTTTTTCCACTCAAAAGTATTTATTCTCCCTAATAGGCAGAAAATTCTTTTGGGCAAAGGGAAAACTTTTTTTTTTTAAAAGGTAAAGCTTCTCATAAATAGACCAGTTTTATTATCTTTTACATTATGGAGAAACAGAAGATGAAGGTCTGCAATACAAGGCACAGTGGAGAGAGCACAGAACTAGGGATGAGAGGGCCTGGATTTGATTCTAGCCCCTGACACCTACCAGCTCTGTGATTACAGGCAAGTCACAACCTCTGTGAGCCCTGGTTTCCTTATACATAAAATGGAAATAATTATAACTGTACCACCTACCCTCACACGGTTATTGTGAGGCAAGTGCTTCGTAAATCTTAAAACACTCGAGATCAAAGAATTATGATTTTTCCCCTGCTATAGTATAATAAGTTACAAGAGGACAGAGACTGAGTCATGTTTAATGTTTCCATTCAGATACCTAGTACAGGGTCTAGCACAGCAGCAAGGGACTAAGGAATTATTTGTTGAACTGAGTTGAAGGCACTGAGCTCAATCCCAGGGCAGGGCAGAGAAAGCTTCCAGATTCAAGTTCCCCACCTTCTGGAATGCCCCTAGACCAAGGCCACCCACCTGCGAATGCCCGGGCCTCATCAGTGGGCACGGCACGGAGGTGGCGCAGGTCACTCTTGTTCCCCACCAACATGATCACAATGTTGTTGTCAGCATGGTCACGGAGTTCTTTCAGCCAACGTTCCACATTCTCATATGTCAGGTGCTTGGCAATATCATAGACCAACAGGGCTCCCACAGCCCCTCGATAGTACCTGAGAAAAGATCAGCAGGACATTAATTTGGCCAAGTAACCACACTGCCTATTCCAGTCGGGCTTTTGCTTCAAGCTATATTCTAGCACCACGTATTCTTTAAAAACCAGAGATTAAAACAAAACCCAGAAACTCGGCCAGGAACTACCTTACCAAGGGCTGCCTAAAGTCAATGATCTCAGCCCCATAAAATAAGGCCTTTCTCATGCTTTCTGGCGCCACTGCACCAAGGTCCCCAGAGTCCTCACCCACCCAAGACTACTTCCTTTGACAAGTACACCATACTCTCATGCTATTTTCTCCCACATCTCTGTTGTCACGTGGAATTTTACTCATCAGGAATGTACAGAATCACAGAATCTGAGTTGGACATGACTTCAGAGGTCATCTAGTCCAACACAAACCTGAAGAGAAATCTCTACCAATTGCAGCCCTAAGCTGGGAGTCAGGAATACCAGGTTCTATTTCTAGCTACGTCCCACCTCATTGTTTGTTCTCCCTCTCCCAACCTCAGTTTCCTCCTCTGCAAGTGCTCATTCAGCCTCTACTTAAAGATTGACAAAGAAGAATGCACTCCCAGCCCTCTCCCAACTATGCCTTTACTTCTCAGCCTGTTGCAGACTTCCAATTACCCTACCACCCATGTGAAGCTGCATTTACTACGGGTGCGCCAATGACTTACTAGCTGCTAAATCCAACAAGCTGTTCTCAGGCCTCAGCTTTCGTGATGACTCTGCAGCGTCTGACACTGCTCACCACCCCTTCCTCCAAGGCTGCGCTTTCCTGGTTCTCCTTCTCAGCGTCCTGTGGTTATCATCCACGTCCCACCCTCAAAAGACCCAATCCTAGGCCCTCCTCTCATCTGTTTGGATAGTCTGCGCTCTCATCAGTTCCCGTAGGTTAAATCGTTCTCTGCAAGCAGATCACTACCAAGTCTATGTATCCTGAGCCACAACCACGCATCACCACTTGCCAGCCTGCCAGACATTTCTATCTGGATATCCCAAAGGGATCTTAAACTCAACAGTTTCTAAACAGAACTCGGGATCTTCTCCTAAAACCTACCCCACTTCCTAATTTCCCTATTTTTATGGAGGGTCCTCCCTGTCACTTAGGGTTACATCCTGGGATTCTTCACTCTCCCTCACATCTGCTCCACCTCTTCACTCCCATATCCACCAGTCTATTTCTAACCCTCATTATCCGTCATGCTTTACAACTGGTCCCTGCCTCTAGTCTCCCTCACCTCCTCAATCCCTCCTCCACACAAACTATCAGACTGGTATTCCACTGCCTTGCTCACGAAGCTTCAGGGTTCTCCATTCTCTTTGGAATCAAATACATCCCCTTCTGTGAGGCATCTGAACCTCCCCAGCCTGGCTGTAACCTAGCTTTCTGGACTGATTCACATTACTCCTCCTTGCACACATTATCACACAGTCAGCTTCTGACCTATTGGCTGTTTCCTAGATACAAACTTCCATCTCCCACCCCCACATCTTTGCGCAGGTTACCCTCTATTTGAAATATTTTCTCTTACACGTCTTGTAGAATCCCTAACTTCTTTCAAAGCACAATTCAGGCGCCAAGCCCTACATGTGGCCTTTTCTGATCTCCCTGGTTTAATGTTTTCCTCTTTACCCAGTGAAATTACTTTACTCTGCATATATCTGGCATACCCTTATCCCTTTCCGTCACATCTCAAATGTGGTCAGCCTATAGGGATTCACAGGTCTCGTGGCCAATATGCATCACTCTACATCCCCCAGCCCCACCGCCAAACCTCCCAAGTCTCCTAACTCAGTGTTCATCTACAGCCAGGCAAAAGAATGGATCCCTTCCAAACTGGGGAACTGGTATTTAGATAGGAACATCACTGAAGCTCAAGATGAAATATGTGTCTATACAGTAATGCAGAATCACAGTGTGGAAAGAAGATTGGCTTAGGGGTCTCAAAAACTGTTTCCTAGTCTCAGTTTCATCCACATTTTTACTAGTCATATGACCTTTGACAAGTCACTTACCTTTTCTAAGACTCAAATGTCCACATCTATAAATTAGGGAAAATATTATCGGTTGTGTCTACGTTATAAGTGTCATCAAAATCAAATGAAGGTACTTTTTAACTCTAAGGAGCTATTCAGATGTATGGCAATCACAATAATAATTGTAGTAAGATTAAATGACACATCCCTAGCATAACAGCTGCAATAGCTCTATGCTTATCAAACTGGGGATGCTGCCTGGATAACTGGCCTGCAGGCCAGGCAAGAATTTCAAGGACATCAGGTCAGTCTTTCCCTCTTGCAGAGGCAGAGGTATTGAGGACAGGGCCCTCACAGAGGAGTTGGACATTAAAAGCTGGGCTAGATTTTCATTCAGGAATAACTACTATTATCTAGGAAGTGATCCTTTGACAGCAAGCACGTATTCAAAAAGGAAAGAAAGAAGGTGCACAGATGGGGAGATTAGTTTCTTACTATTAGCAGGGATTCTCTACCAAAATGCTGTCCTGGTGTTTTGCTTCAAATTGACCTGGTCTATCCTGTTGAAGGGAAGACTCAATCAAGAGTTTCCTTTCTCTCAGGAAGAACCAGGATTTCTCTAGTCCAGCAAGAATGCTATAGTCCTCAGGAGACAGGGCTTTCCAAGTACCCTCTTACTAAGAATGTGTCATCAGGGTCTCTGGCCTTTATCTTCACTCAGGAGCAAAAGGAAGGGGTCCTTTACTGCAGAAAAGGAGAAGTCCAAACAAAGACTGGAAAAGATCTTTACAGTCTGGATGGGCAGAATCTAGATAATGAATTATAATGGTAATAAATGTGAAGTTAGGTTAAAAAAATGAGCTGACAAAAATAAAAGATGTGGGTGGTGTGGCCAAACAATAGGTCATATAAAAGAACTGGCAGTCTTACTGGACTGCAAGTTCAATTTGAGCCAACAGTGCTGGTTAGCACTGTTGGCCAAAACAGAAATGTGATCTTAGGCTGAATTAAAAGATTTACAGTGTTCAAATCAAAGAAGATAACAGTTCTACTATACTCCATAAATATCCTTCTTAGGACAGGATATACAACAGAACCAAAACAGAGAAGGGCAACCAGGCTGAGGAAGGGACACCGTCATAGGAAGATTAAAGAAGATTTGCAGGCAAGGGCACAATCGTGATCTTCAGTTGCCTGATGGACTATCATGGGCAAAGAGGACACAACTGGGACTGCTGGTGGGAGTAGGGAAGTAAAGGCAGAGAAAATATGGGGAGATAGACTTCAGCTCAATACAATAAGCATGTGAGCAATGAAAAGTGGTCCCTAAGGGAACAGATAACCTTGTAAGGTTCTACTACAGGTATTTCAGCAGAGGCTAGACCTGTCAGAAATGCTGTAGATGAGATTCCTAAATTGGATGGATGGATGGATGAGGTGATCCCCAGGACCTATGACCTTTGACAAAGTCCCACTGACACCCATACTCTTCGTGCAATGGGAACAAAAATAAGAGAACTCATTCTTCTCACTTCTTACCAAAAGTAAGCCAGGCGTGAATATAGAAAGGTAAGAAATCTAGCAGTGCTCAGAAAATGGGCAAAAGTGTAACCCACTTTTTTTCAATCATTAATCAGAAAACAGAAAAAAGGCAGAAACACGACTCAAGCCTATCTACCCAGAATGCTGAGGAGGCAATTCTCACCGTGTGGGAGGCAGGATGAGATGAGATGATCTCTAAGGTCCCTAACAGCTCGGAGAACCTATTCTCTTTGCTTGCTCCTCTGCACTGTTCTAACAGTCTGTCTCAGTCACCTGGTGCCTGGATCACATTCTCCTTTACAATGTTGTTACTTAGCATAGACCTTACCTCCCTCTCCAGATGTTGGAGTAAAAATGCCTCGGTGCTGAATGGCATTTTATGACTTAGTACTTCCAGACACACTGTACCTCATTTGATCCCTCACAACCATGAAGGTGTCTGCTGCAGTCCCTTGATGCCAGAGTGTCATATGCTGGTGACCCCAGATTCTCAAAGGATATGTCTGAGAAAGGCAAGCTCTGGCAGGTCCAACCAAGCTGGGAAAAACTTCAGCTTTTTGATCTCTATGTCCATTGTCTGAGAAGCAGCCTCAACAAAGTCAGTCAAACAAACATATACTAAGTGGAGCTTGTTGTTGTTTTGGGTTTCTTTTCGGGGGGGGGGGGGGAAAGAGGTGGGAATGAGATGTACACAAACAATTATAGTCCAAAGCAGAGAATGAAAAAGTGCACAACATTACAAACCAAGTGCCTGTGAGGCCATCTGGTTATCTCTGGGAAATTTCATCCTCTTGGTGCCAGTCTACAAAAGTATTTTTTAACCTGGAGACTTTGTAAATTAGAATTTTGTGATTTAACTAGGCATAATGAGGAAAATATTACTGTTATTTTTGGTGGGGAAAAACAATTTTTGTATAGTTTATCTCATTCTGAACAAAATGTGAATTTTCCTAAAACAAAAAAAGTATTTTTAGAAAAGATCCTCATTCTGTTATCTTTCTTATTAGTTATGCCTTCCAGCTGCAAATTTGGTTAATTAAGTTTGCCATCTGTGTTTTTACCCAATAACATAAAAAAAATTACAAAGAGCAGTGTCAAGCATCAGGCCCTATGCCAGCAGCCTACAGAGACCCCCTTCCAGGCAGACGGCAACACAATCATTTAATCAGCTCCAAACCCACCTCGCAGTTTTCCCTTTTGGCCACAAAGATATTCTGAGAGGCGCTGACTGTCAGATGCTGAAACCTCTTTGCTAGAAAAAGATAAATGCAACTTAGGAGCTAGACAGGTCTACACTTCTTCCTCTTTGGAGGGCACTGGTCACTCTTTTGCCTGCCTCATTTAGCCTCAACAACCCTCATCAACTGTGGCTTTCTTTTACTTCACCTTGAATCCCACTACCCAAAACACGGCATTATTGGAGATAGGTAATAAATCCTGTCACCGAGCATGTTACAAAATGATCTCAAGTGTAACAATTAAAAGGGAAGACTGACTCAAAACCCAATGTAGAGGCACACTGAACTCCCAAAAGGAAGGCATTCCACTAAGGAGGTCACTTCTTGGCTGTCAGGGTCACTAGACCATAGGAACTACAGGACTGATAGCATCTATCGAATGTTGACCAATTTGTGACCCCCTGAAGAGAAGTTACTATTCTAGACAATAGAAGGTGACTTACATTTAAAATTCCATAGCTGGAAAAATTTCAAATTCAGTAAAACCTCTTACTTGTAATTTTGGGTCTCGAACCTTCCAGGACACCAGCTAAATTTTGCTTCTATAAATGGATTACACATTTCTATTTTGCACTGACTCTGTGATCTCTTGGCTGTGGGGTGAGTACTCCCTTTACCTGTATGGAGTGTAGCACCTCATGCCTTCCCAACCCACACAATTCTCGCCCTCTGCTGGGGATCTGCCCTTACATACTAGAGGCTTTCCTCCATATCTTTTAACATTTCAGAGACAACAGTGGAATGCCTGGGCTGTGATCTGCTATCCCTCAGTCTCTACACTACCAGCCCACCTCCTTTTCCAGTTATACATGTCTTTGATGATGTCTATTTATTTATGTAAACAACATATATGTTTAGGCTGCTTAAAGATTAACACCAATATGAGGCACCTAGTGTGTTTATGTTCCCATAAAACTACTTTGTATAGAAACACTGATGAAAAATACAGAAGGACCTAATTATAAATGACTGCATGAAAACCATTTAGTAGTGTCTCCAGTTCCCAGTGACTTGGAAAATATGATAAAAGCAATTCTTCCCTACCAGCTTCCTCCTCGTGTCTACAAGGACAGCAGATAAGAAGCTCTCCCAGGGGTCTCTATAGCATGTTGTTCTGGTGGATTGCCTTAGACTACTGGCTGGAAGGAGCCTTTGGACAGACTGAAACTGCCGAAATGCAGACAAACTCTGACATCTTCCTTGCTAGATCCAAATCTTGCTTTCACTGTGAAAGAAACACTTTTGGAGAAACTTCCTAGATATGAATAAGCTAAGGAACGAAATGCAGCTCGACATAGGCAGCGTTTTGTGTCTGAGCAGGCTGAACTTACGCTGACGTGATTGCCCGGTACCGCTCCTGACCAGCTGTGTCCCAGATCTGGGCTTTTATAGTCTTCCCATCCACTTGGATGCTCCTGGTAGCAAACTCCACACCGATGGTACTCTTACTCTCCAAATTGAATTCGTTTCGAGTGAATCGTGAAAGGAGGTTGCTCTTCCCCACCCCAGAGTCACCAATCAGCACAACTGAAAAAGGAATAGAATATTCTGTAAACTTAGAATCATTTCAGGGCCTAAGTCTCTGCCTCTAAAGACAGGGTTCTTTCCACTAAATCCTATAGATTCTATTTGAAAAATGTAGCCAAGGAATTAACTAGCCACATTCTAATTGTCACCTAGGACCATATCAGCTAGGGACCAGAGAAGCAAAATTCTTTTCCTCCCAAGCACAGACATCCTAGGTTAATGCCACCAGCCCAAGATACCTCAGGGGTATTTTGTGAGGAGAATTAAAATAGCTGATAGATGAGAAAGGATGGTAGCATGGTGAAGTAGAAAACTCTCCTGAACAAGGAGAGCTGAACTCTGTTTCTGGCTTTGCTAATTTACTGTGTGATCAACTCTGGGCAAGTTTCTTCCCTGCTCTGGATGTGTTTCCTAACCTGTAAAATATGAGGTAATAGGACTAAAGAGATGTTCTGTAGCTAGGCTATTCTCTATTTTAAGGGCGTGGGAGGTAATGTACGTAAGATGACTCGCAAGCCTTAAAACACTGGGTAGATATCAGCCATGCTGGTGCTGAAGGTCCTTTTCTGAGGTTCCCTGATTCCTTCCAGCTCCATAGGTAAGGCATAAAAAGGCATAAAATCTATGCTGCCACCACACTTGAGATTTCTGAGCACAAATGCCTTGGAAAAGAATTCTTTTTCTTTGATCTAAGACTTCCAAACTGCTAGCTCCTCCTGGGCCTACAGGGACCCCCATCCTTAGGTCTTCCACTACCTCATTCATAGGCATCCCCTCCCTTCCACTCAATCCCACCTTCAAGACACATAGAAGAAAATAGATTCGTGTATTTAAGAAGAAAAATCACCCCAAGCAGCTTCTTGAGTGAATTTTTCCAACAGGCAACATCAGGAGTGTCTCAGAGAGCAAGGCAAGTGAGCAAAACTTACTCCAGACCTTGTCTAGGCAGGCTGGATTTTACCTATCTGCTTTTAAAGAACAAAATCTCCCTATGGTAGAAACAGATAGCAACAAAGAAAAACTGACCTAGAATCGGAGAGTTTTTGAGCTGAAATGGATTGGCAGAAATATATATTCTAACTCCTGATTTTACAAAATGAGGAAAAGCCCTGAAAACGGAAGGAACTTGTCCACAGTCCAAAGTAAGTCAGTGGCAGCACCCAGACTGGCACCCCAGTCCAGTATCCTTGTGCAGTGAAGTGATCATCTGGCATCAAACTGGTTCTTGAGGCCCAAGGTCTTGTTAAGTCAACTTGTAGGATAGAGGGGATATGAACTGATTTTTAATCAGTTTTTTTAAAAATAGTACATCTAGCACAATTAATTCTGGGAATTATAAAATTCTCCCTCTCAAGTGAAATGCCATACTTTCCGCAAGTAACTAGCCTAAAAGCCCCAGGGAATGGTGAGGAGGAGATCTAAGTCACCACCCCTTATCAAACTGTTCTTCCTTAGAGCCTTTGAAAACTAGCTTTTATACATCTAGGACCCAAGCTGGGCTCAGTTTCCCCTGCAGTGACTCCTCAGAGATTTTGGTGCTGCCTCTACTCTATCTGAAGTGCCTTGGGCGAAGTCTGGGATGCTATCAAACCCTGGCCTCACAGAATCTATCTTCAAACAAGACCACCTTCCTTTTCAATAAACCAAATGTGAAAGACACAGCAATGATGATTCTTTATTTTACAAAGAGACCATCATTCTTCCCCATTTTGTCTCATCTCTTGCTGCCATAGAATGGTTAGACTTATAGTTAAAAAGAATTTCAACCTAGATGGCTCCGGGAGGAGAAAGTAAAGCTGGTGACTTTGCACAGCCCTCCCTCACTTAAATCCAATTCACTTCCATGTTACAGCCTCACCTCCCTGAATTCACAGTCCTCTCTGAGAAGGAAGGACAAACAACAACAACTTCCCCTATCCAATAATAAAGCCTAATTTGATTGCTGTTTGATGGACCACCTGCTGCACTGAAGGGTATATAAACTATAAGTCCACCACCATAACTGTCTTTGGTCTAAGCCAAATGACCATCCTTTTATTAATAACCTGCTGGCCTCATTAATAAAAATGATTAAATTACTCAGAAAAAAAAAAGGTCAATTTGACAGCTGTATAGAGGGATGGATTAGAGAGGGAAGAGACTTTAAGAAGAAAGAAAACAAGCATTTGCTAAGTGCCTACTATGTGTCAGCCACTGTGCTAAGCACTTTACAAATATCACATTTGATCTTCACAACCACCCTAGGAGGTGGAAGCTCTTATGACCCCCGTTTTACAGTTGATGAAATTGAGACAAAGAGTGGGTTAAGTGACTTGTCCAGTGTCACACAGCTAGGCTGTAACTGAGGCTAAATTGGAATTCAGGTCTTTCTGACTCCAGGCCTGGCACTCTATTTACTGCTCCACCTAGCTGCCTCTTTACGGGGAAGGCTATTGCAATAATCCAGGGGGAACTCATCTCTAAGTACCTAAAGTTTTAGAGTTTCCTGGGGGCACCGAGAGGCTCAGTGACTCATAATAGTACTTCAAATCAAGAAGCATTTATTAAATGCTTACTATGAGTGTGCTAAGTGCTGAGAATAAAAATACAAGTAAAAATTAAAGATCCTGCCCATAAGGACCTTACATTTTAATGGGGGAAGGCACATATAAAGGAAGCTGAAAAAAGGTTGAGGGAGGAGGACAAGATGAAGGTACCCTATCACCAGTGCACGGTAGAGAAAGATCAGAGAGTTAGGAATACAGCCTGGAAAGGAATGAAGACATGGCTGGCCTGATGTCATCCTCCTTAAAATGGAGGCTCTGAGAGGAATCAGTCAATCAGAGGGAAAGGCCACAGGGCAGAGGGTATTTCTAGTGTGAGAAACCCAAGGGTGAAGTGAACTTCCAGGGTGAAGAGGTTTCTAAGACATGGTATAGAAAGTCTGAGGAGTGTTACATGTATTATGATCCCCATTTTACAGATGATATAATAGAGCACTGGACCTGGAATCAGGAAGACCTTAGTTCAAATCTAGACCCAAACACTTAGTAGCTGTGTCACTTAACCCTTCTCAGCCTTAATTTCTTCACCTGTAAAGTGGGAATAATAATAATCCCTACCTTCCATGGCTGTTGTGAGAATCAAATGAGATATTTACAGGGTGTTTTGCAAACCTTAAAGTGCCACATAAACGCTATCTGTTATAGCTATTATTATTCTTGTTGAAATTCCTTGCCCAAGACCACACAACTAAAAAGAGAGCTGAGACTCAAACTCGGTCTTAATTATATTGCTTGAAACCACTAATATCTCAGTCATGCATGGTTAAAACATTTGAGTCACCTTTGCTGGTGGCGGTCCCCACGTTCCACCAGTCACAAAGTCTTTTCAATTCTATCTTCAATGGTTCTTCCCAAAGTGTCATCTTCCCATTCCCACTGCAGTCACCCTACTCTAGTCCCTCATTACCTCATTCCCAGGCCATTGCAATAAATCCCCATGGGTCTCTGCCTCCAGTCCACCCTGCCAGGGTAATTTTCCTAATACAAGGTCTCAGCAAAATGGTACTTCACTGCTCCCCCTGCCTATTGCATGAAGTTCAAACTTCTTTGCCTGGCCTTCAAAACCCTCTGCAACCTGGTTCCAGTCAACATTCCCAGCTTCATCTCACACTATTTGCCTTCACATAATCTACATTAGAGCCAAATTGGACTCTCTGCCAAGGCCCTTCCACTGTACCAGCCAACATCATATTGAAATGTGTATCCTTCAAGATTCAGCTGAGCTGTTATCTCTTCCACAAAGCATTACCCCATCCTCTGTCCTCTTCACACCTTGGCCAGAAAGGCTCTTTCCCTCCTAGAATTTCTCACTCTACTTTCTTTGTCTGTACTTTCATGCAATCATCACTTTCAAATGTCTGTTACAGCAATAATAATGGATTAAGTGTCTCAGGTACATTATCAAGTCTGATGCTTACAACACCCCTATAAACTTGGTGACAGTACTGATATTATCACAGAAGTTAACAAACATCAGCACCCACTATGGGCCAGGTATACATACACCTGAACCCTAATTTCACAAAGCCCTAATGAAAGGTTCAACAAAAGTGCCAACTAAAACCTCTGGGAAACTCCTGACCTGGAGCAACCCAAGTTGCAGCAGACTGTTGTTCAGATGCTGGCTTAGAGGTCTGTAGAGTGGAAAAATGGAACTCATCTGCAAAAGATTCATTTTGCCATACTGGGAGTCTGCCCTTCACAAATTCTACATTCTTCCATAGTAGGTAATCTTCATGGCCAAATCCAACAACAGAAACTGTAAGTACCCCCAATCACTGGAACAGCTTTGAGCTTGCTGACCCTGGTTATTATGTGATGAGATTAACAGAATAACTTATATAATAAGTCTACGGACTACCTAAGGCTACTGCAATATAGTTTTCTAAAAGATACACATGTTCACATGGAATTCTCTTGGGAAGCTCCATTGTTTTCTGCCTACTCTGGAAAAAGCTAAAATTAATTAGCTCAAATACTTGGGGACTGGTTGATCAATTTTCTAGTGAATACTCAGCTGAGAGTTCACCAAAAAATCCTTTTAAATTTAAAATTTTTTAACAGTCTTTCTAAATTGTCTGAATCTCCCTTCTTGTGATAGTCAGGCCAGGATACTGAACTGAGCTAGAGTTAAGATGTCGAGGAAAGCCCATGGGATTTTTAGTTAGAAAACAATGGAGTCTGAGTGTTGGCTCTGCTCTTTGTTAGCTGTGTGATGTTAGAGAAATCACTTCATGTTTCTGAGCCTTAGTTTCTTCACTTCTAAAATGGAAATAATAATACTTGCCCTACCTACCTTCTGGTGAGGGTCAAATGAATGTATATAAAATGTTTTGTCAACCACTGAGTAAATGTCATTGTCATCAGATGCCTTTGATGACTTGAGATTCTGTGGTACAAGAATCACCAGTCTGGACAGGCCTAAAGGTTTTGGTTACTAGGCTGCATTTGCATTGA